AGGTGACATGACGTATGCCGGGGTAAGGAGGGGAAGGCTAGACCGTCCAAATTCACAGCCTCTTTTTTTCCGGTCTTCCCGGTCTACCAAGGACCCGGCCCGCCGCAACCGGGGAGTCTGGGTCCTCCGGAGGACCCGGCCTGTCGTTTTGGACACAGCCTATGTTTAGCATTAGCGAAACTCATATTCTTGTTTAGTAGAGGTTAGAGATGCTAACTGTTTGGTTAGCTGTGCTCAACACTGATTAGTTTCAAATAAAAGCAATATCCTCTTAAAAAATCAGATCTTTTTTCTGCAGTAACTCAAACTAGTTCATCACTGAATATTATTTACAATAAAACAGGCAGAGCTGTTCTCCAAACTTCACAGAAGAGTTCTTAGAATCTGCAGACGAGCTGCTTTCAGGAAAAACTGTAATTGAATACAAAACAACATGCCCTTCAGCTCCTCATTTATTTGTTTTCAAAGAGAAGAGGAAAAACGCTTGAATCCTGCAGGGTTTCTCAGTGTGAATCAAACTGTGGAAACATGAATAATAACATCATCTAAATGCTACATGAATCTCCTGCTAACTGTCCTCTGGACATGTTTCATCTCTAACTACAGAAATGAGATTTCCTGCAAATATCAGTGAGCTGAATGACGACCGAAACAGCCATTAAAGATATAAAAAGCTGAAACTGATGAAAGCTAAACATAGCTAGAAGCAACAAAAAGTTAGCTACTAGCTAAAAATAGCAGAAGAGTTGCTAAAATAAGGAAATTGTTAGCTAAAAGTAAAATAAAACAGTTGAAAGTAGAAGAACAATACAAATTAAAAGATGCTTAATTGCGGCAGAAGAGTATCTAAAAAGTAAAAGTGGCAAAAAGCTAACTAGCTACAAGGTAAAAGCAACAAAGTAGTAGCTAAAAACTAAAAGTAGAAAAATGTCAGCCAAAAGTAACAAAGTGATCAATAAAAGTAGCAAAACACTAACTAAAAGGGACAAAATGGTAAAAGAGCTGAAAGTAGCAAAATGCTAGCTACAAGCTAAAATTAACAAAAGTGTTGCTGAAAGTAAGAAATTGGTAGCTAAAAGTTAAAATATAGCAGTTGAATGTAGCAGAACAATACAAGTTAATAGTAGCCTAACTGTAGCAGAATGACAGCTAAAAGGTAAAAGCAGCAAAAAGCTAGATAGCTAACAGAATGGTTAGCAAAACGTGTTAACAAAGGTATTACGAAAAGTAGCAAAACACTAATTAAAATCTAAAAGCAGCAAAAAGGTAGCTATAAGATAAAAAAAAACTCAGAAAAGTATCTTAAATTAGCAAAATGTCAGCTAACAAAACAATTAGGAAAAGTAGCTAAAAATCTAGCTACAAATAAAAATGTCTACAGAAGACAAAAACATCATTGATTTACTAACAGATTTTTAAAAAGAATGTTATAAAAATAAATTAAAGTTATTAGAAAAAATCTAAACATTAAAATATGACAATGACTAAAGTCACTGAACGAGCTGAACTTTTATTCATAAACAGCTAAAATAGCACAAAATGTGGAAAAGACCTACAGAAAACACAAACAGTGTAAATGCTGATTGGTCATTTTCTCAGCGAAGCTCGGTAACAAACGTGGCGAGCCTCACTGTGGAAAGTAAATACGACATCACGACTGTGTTTCGGCTGTGAGAATCCCTTCGGCTGATAACTACATGTCAAGATGCTCGCTTTACACCTTGCTGAGCTCATGTGTGGGATTGACTTCAGCTGCATTAGAGTCACCATACAGGCATGTGCTCTGCTAATGACACACGGCACGCTTCATGAAATACAGCTTTTCCTATCTGCAGCCATGTTGTCAGGGACCGCTGACTGGGAGTGTTTTTACCCCTGGGGAGGAAACACAGGAAGACTGAGCACAAAGTATCAACCATGTCGTACTGTTTACCTGTTTGGTCTCTTACAACAAATGAAATCTTAGAACCCATAGTTAGGCTCTACAACAG